AGACATCTGTGTGAGTCATTGTGTCAGACATCTGTGTGAGTCACAGTGTCAGACATCTGTGTGAGTCACAGTGTCAGACATCTGTGTGAGTCACAGTGTCAGACATCTGTGTGAGTCATTGTGTCAGACATCTGTGTGAGTCACAGTGTCAGACATCTGTGTGAGTCATTGTGTCAGACATCTGTGTGAGTCATTGTGTCAGACATCTGTGTGAGTCATTGTGTCACACAGTGTCAGACATCTGTGTGAGTCATTGTGTCACACAGTGTCAGACATCTGTGTCAGTCATTGTGTCAGACATCTGTGTGAGTCATTGTGTCAGACATCTGTGTGAGTCATTGTGTCACACAGTGTCAGACATCTGTGTGAGTCAGTGTCACACAGTGTCAGACATCTGTGTGAGTCACAGTGTCAGACATCTGTGTGAGTCATTGTGTCAGACATCTGTGTGAGTCATTGTGTCAGACATCTGTGTGAGTCATTGTGTCAGACATCTGTGTGAGTCATTGTGTCAGACATCTGTGTGAGTCATTGTGTCACACAGTGTCAGACATCTGTGTGAGTCATTGTGTCACACAGTGTCAGACATCTGTGTCAGTCATTGTGTCAGACATCTGTGTGAGTCATTGTGTCAGACATCTGTGTGAGTCATTGTGTCAGACATCTGTGTGAGTCATTGTGTCAGACATCTGTGTGAGTCAGTGTCACACAGTGTCAGACATCTGTGTGAGTCATTGTGTCAGACATCTGTGTGAGTCATTGTGTCAGACATCTGTGTGAGTCATTGTGTCAGACATCTGTGTGAGTCATTGTGTCAGACATCTGTGTGAGTCATTGTGTCAGACATCTGTGTGAGTCATTGTGTCAGACATCTGTGTGAGTCATTGTGTCAGACATCTGTGTGAGTCATTGTGTCAGACATCTGTGTGAGTCATTGTGTCAGACATCTGTGTGAGTCAGTGTCACACAGTGTCAGACATCTGTGTGAGTCACAGTGTCAGACATCTGTGTGAGTCATTGTGTCAGACATCTGTGTGAGTCATTGTGTCAGACATCTGTGTGAGTCATTGTGTCAGACATCTGTGTGAGTCATTGTGTCACACAGTGTCAGACATCTGTGTGAGTCATTGTGTCACACAGTGTCAGACATCTGTGTGAGTCATTGTGTCAGACATCTGTGTGAGTCATTGTGTCAGACATCTGTGTGAGTCATTGTGTCAGACATCTGTGTGAGTCATTGTGTCAGACATCTGTGTGAGTCAGTGTCACACAGTGTCAGACATCTGTGTGAGTCATTGTGTCAGACATCTGTGTGAGTCACAGTGTCAGACATCTGTGTGAGTCATTGTGTCAGACATCTGTGTGAGTCATTGTGTCAGACATCTGTGTGAGTCATTGTGTCAGACATCTGTGTGAGTCAGTGTCACACAGTGTCAGACATCTGTGTGAGTCATTGTGTCAGACATCTGTGTGAGTCATTGTGTCACACAGTGTCAGACATCTGTGTGAGTCATTGTGTCAGACATCTGTGTGAGTCATTGTGTCAGACATCTGTGTGAGTCATTGTGTCAGACATCTGTGTGAGTCATTGTGTCAGACATCTGTGTGAGTCACAGTGTCAGACATCTGTGTGAGTCATTGTGTCACACAGTGTCAGACATCTGTGTGAGTCATTGTGTCACACAGTGTCAGACATCTGTGTGAGTCATTGTGTCAGACATCTGTGTGAGTCATTGTGTCAGACATCTGTGTGAGTCAGTGTCACACAGTGTCAGACATCTGTGTGAGTCATTGTGTCAGACATCTGTGTGAGTCATTGTGTCACACAGTGTCAGACATCTGTGTGAGTCATTGTGTCAGACATCTGTGAGAGTCATTGTGTCAGACATCTGTGTGAGTCATTGTGTCAGACATCTGTGTGAGTCATTGTGTCAGACATCTGTGTGAGTCATTGTGTCAGACATCTGTGTGAGTCATTGTGTCACACAGTGTCAGACATCTGTGTGAGTCACAGTGTCAGACATCTGTGTGAGTCATTGTGTCAGACATCTGTGTGAGTCACAGTGTCAGACATCTGTGTGAGTCACAGTGTCAGACATCTGTGTGAGTCACAGTGTCAGACATCTGTGTGAGTCATTGTGTCAGACATCTGTGTGAGTCATTGTGTCAGACATCTGTGTGAGTCACAGTGTCAGACATATGTGTGAGTCATTGTGTCAGACATATGTGAGAGTCACAGTGTCACACAGAGTCAGAAATCTGTGAGTCACAGTGTTAGACAACTGTGTGACTCAAGTGTCAGACATATGTATGTGTCACAGTGTCCGACATCTTTGTGTTACTGCGTCAAACATCTGGATTAGTCAAAGTTCCAGATATATTTGTGACAGTGTCAGACATCTGTGTGAGTCACTGTGTGAGATATCTGTGTGACAATATCAGGCATACGTGTGATTGTGTCAATCATAATCTAAGACATCTTTGTGACAGTAGTCTCAAACAAAATTGTGAATCACAGAACTACAACCTGTACTCTCTAATTACACTAACCCTTTCAAATTTAAACTATCGTCACTCCAGCGTACATTATAATATGTCTTAGGGGTCATCCATTTATGACGTCCACAATTTTTTTTTGGATTTTGGAACCCCTCCCCCCCCCCCGTCCACAGAAATCCACTATTGTTCCTTATACAAGTCCATATGCGTCCACAAAAGTCAGTTTTTTTCGGACCCCCCCCCCCCCCCCCGCGTGTGGACGTCATAAATGGATGACCCCTTATAGATGTATTAACACTTAAGTAACTTATTTCTAGTAGATGTTGTGTTTGCTCACCAATGTTTAAACAAATTGCTCACCTTTTCTGTAGTAGATATGTTGTCACACATACACCAAGGTAGCTCCGTTATTACATGTTGTTCTCTGGGTCAGGTAGATCCGTTTTCCCCAAGACTTGATAGATCCGCCCAAAACCTGGCTATGCACACCACTGCTACACCACGACTACACCACAGCCACACCACAGCCACACCACAGCCACACCACTCCTGATTGGCTGTAAACTGCTGGGTAAGTGTGACAAAAAAAGCCAGTGCCGTGAGGTGCCGTCTTACCCATTTAGTTTATGGGCATTTCAAATTCAGACGTAGGCTTCAGGTGTCCTCACACTGTCAGATTGGCATCCAAAATTTAAACGCTAATCAAAAGGGCAAAGCGTCGAACCTGTCTGTTCCTTAACTCACACAAGACGACCGTTGAAGAAGTTGGATTTTGAACTCAATAGATTGGAGTCTCTTGTTTTATGTAACGATGGTTGACGTAAGATAAAAATAATGGTACAACTGATGAGTTCTAGGATCTATTCTTACTTTCTGCGTTTACATAATTCAGTGTTGTAAAAAGCGCTATAAAACTAATATCAATCTTATGAAATAATATCCCGTATTATTTTGATTCAAACTCCATTTGCAAAATAAATAAAACTTTATGTTGTTTTTTTTTTTTTTTTGCATGTCTTTTTGGATGTCGGTTAGCAGATCAGTGTTTCTTCCAGGCATCTCTTCATCCCCTCCGCAAAAAAACAACATCTACCGCCCCTCCCCCTCCCCAAACGAAAGAGAATTTATATGAAAAAATATACTTTTACCAGTGTCCGCCCCCCCCCCCCTCTAGGAAATTTTAGTCCCCCTCCCCCTCCACAAAAAAAATAATTTCTTCAAGTGCCCCCCTGCAAAATTCCAGGTCTTCTAGGCTAGTTGTTAGTGTCCACGCGAGGCCTTTTGTTTTGTCTGTATTTTGTGACATTAGCCAACCAATTGCTAAGTTAAAAACCAGTGGGGACAGAAAACATTCTTGTGTAACTCCTGTCTGAACAATAAATGAATTATTGACGTGGCTACCACAAATGACTTTCCATTAGAATCGTTCATATATGATTTTGATAGCATTTCTGAAATTTTCTACTTTATTCCGTCTAGGCCACACAAGCTTTTAATATGTTGCTATGGTGATACGCGTGATAAAAATCTGCTATACATTTTGATACTATGGAAGAATGGGGCATTGTAACGGGGAAGAAAATATCTTGCTTTTCGTCACAAGGCAACTACATGAAATAGAGTAGAGCTAAAATCGACTGTAATCGCTTGACTTAATGATGATGACTTCTTGAGTAGAATTGAGTACCGAATTATATAGAAGACTCTAACTCCAGCATTTGGGATCCTCTATCTTGCTCCACAAATCTCACCTCTCTTGTGAATTTAATCTGCGTGCGAATTGTTTGGAATTATCATTAACCTGCAAGTTTGATCTTGAAGTTTAAATTTAACCCGCCTTTAAAAATAAGAGAAGGTGTTTACAAAATCTATTTATGGCTTTACTTTCTGTAAACAATGAAGAATCGTGATTGGGCACAAAATCGTTCAGTAAAAAATAATTCTGCGTTGGCCTGTTCAATGCCCGAGTTCAAGCAGTTCAAAGGTTAAGTGACACCTTAATTGGATTCAAGGACACATAGAGCTCGTGACTAGTCATAAATCTGTCGGCTGCTCAAAAGATCCAGACAACCTCAAAACAAGACAGAATGATTTAAAACACAAGTTCACGAGTTAAACACGTAAATAGAGTCACTCGGACAAACTCGCATGAGATCGTTGATTTTTATTTCATTACGGGCACGTGAAACAATCAGCTAAGGACAAGGTGACATTATCAATATAGAGACAAGGTGACATTATCAATATAGAGACAAGATGACATTATCAATATAGAGACAAGATGACATTATCAATATAGAGACAAGATGACATTATCAATATAGAGACAAGATGACATTATCAATATAGAGACAAGATGACATTATCAAGATAGAGACAAGGTGACATTATCAATATAGAGACAAGATGACATTATCAATATAGAGACAAGATGACATTATCAATATAGAGACAAGATGACATTATCAATATAGAGACAAGATGACATTATCAAGATAGAGACAAGGTGACATTATCAATATAGAGACAAGATGACATTATCAATATAGAGACAAGGTGACATTATCAATATAGAGACAAGATGACATTATCAATATAGAGACAAGGTGACATTATCAATATAGAGACAAGATGACATTATCAATATAGAGACAAGGTGACATTATCAATATAGAGACAAGATGACATTATCAATATAGAGACAAGGTGACATTATCAATATAGAGACAAGATGACATTATCAATATAGAGACAAGATGACATTATCAATATAGAGACAAGATGACATTATCAATATAGAGACAAGGTGACATTATCAATATAGAGACAAGATGACATTATCAATATAGAGACAAGATGACATTATCAATATAGAGACAAGATGACATTATCAATATAGAGACAAGATGACATTATCAATATAGAGACAAGGTGACATTATCAATATAGAGACAAGGTGACATTATCAAGATAGAGACAAGGTGACATTATCAAGATAGAGACAAGGTGACATTATCAAGATAGAGACAAGATGACATTATCAATATAGAGACAAGATGACATTATCAATATAGAGACAAGATGACATTATCAATATAGAGACAAGGTGACATTATCAAGATAGAGACAAGGTGACATTATCACATTAAATACAATGTGACATGATCAAAGACAAGGTGAATTGATCACGATGAGACAAGTTGACATGATCACGCTAAAGACAAGGTGACATGATCACGCTAAAGACAAGGTGACATGATCACGCTGAAGACAAGGTGAAGTGATCACATTCAATAAAAGGTGATATGATCACGTTATAGAAAAGGTGACATGATCACGTTATAGAAAAGGTGACATGATCACGTTCACGACAAGGAGACATGATCAAAGACAAGATGATATGATCACGACGAAGACATGTTGACTCGACACAATCACGCGATATTTACGACGTGAAAATCTCAATATATGCCATTCAAAAATTTAGATACTTTTTTTTTTTAATTTAAACCAACGCGAAATTGTTATCCGAAATAGCTGACACATAACGTAGAAGTTATGAGGTTAATACGATCCATCGCCTACGCTTTCACTGGAAAAATCAAATGGTGTGATATAAAAATGTTAACCAAATGACAATAGCAACGAATGAAAAAAAGGTTATACTAAAATAAACCTAGTGTGAGACATAAAAAACTAGATGTCAGGCAGGGTTGTTTTTTTTTTTTATAAATAGAAAAATTTCACGTGACTCGTGGGTACCAACGCAGTTCTGCATTAGTTTCACACCAATTTTTCACTTAAATAATTTTTTACTCGATACTTCATTATACTTCAATAATAAGAACTTTTGGTGCAGCAGTGATGGTTGTAATAAAAAAAAATTTCCATTAAGGTCCTAAAATAAATCTGATTTGTTTCATTTGCAAGGATAAAAAAGGCTAATACTTATAGTCGTGCCTCTTCGAATTATGAAAGTTTGTTTGAATTCCCTAAGAATTTTCATTTATTGTGTCAGTTATCCACTGAATATTCTCAGGGACAGATACTGCGTAACTAATAAAATCCCCATCCAATGGAATAACATGTGTGAGTACTCCCACCAAGTAGTAACGTCCATTCTTGAAGCAGCTCAGTGCTGAACCAGAGTCTCCTTTACTGGCGCTAGAGTGTCCAGCGGAAGTCATGCATAAATTATTGCCGCCCAAGTCAATTATTCCAAGAAAGGAGTTGTAAGCGATGCACAGAGTTTGGTTCAATAGTCTGACACGAAGCTGTTGAAGAAGGTCTGGTGCAACAGACTTATAAATAAAATGTTGCGTAGATCCCCAGCCTGTGACAAAACAAGGCGAGGCGTCCCAAATATTACCCTCGGGCAAACAGATAGGCTGTACTGAGTCTGTAAACGTTAACGGGGAGGACAGTTTAAAAAGGGCCAAATCAACCGCATCGTCTTCATGTTCAAACACCGCTTTAGTGCGAGTTGTATTGGCTTTTCGATAGTTGTTGTTTCCATAGAATACCAAAGCTTCATTACCTCGCAGACAGTGTGCAGCCGTCACGATCCATTCACTGCTAATAATAACTCCTCCACACCTTGCGCTAGAAATGCGTAAAGAAACTTGCCAAGGCCAAGCATTAGCTGGTGCGTCTCCGCCACCTACAATCTGTTGTGATTGGTCGTTCTTAGACACGCCACATTGACCTTGGTTTAATATAGGCGGGGACGGAAAGTCTTTGGCTAGGGCTGGTTTAGGTAATTGTAGTGGTAATGTTCTTGGTACATTTCTAATGGAAACTTGATACTTCTGCCGAAAGAACAATCGTCTGATTGAGATTTGATATGACCAGGCTTCATACATATCAATAAAAGAACCTGCACGGGACAAATTTTAAAGAATTATCTATAACGTATTTAAAGAAAAAAAGCTATATATATATATATATATATATATATATATATATATATATATATATATATATATATATATACATATATATATATATATATATATATATATATATATATATATATATATATATATATATATATATATATATACATATTTATATATTTATATATATTCACTGCATTTCTTAAGTGTCCATTAGGGCTAATTTCCATTCGTGAAAACAGCCTTTGGGTAAACGGCATTCAGGCAAGTGTCTCGGGAATTTGTCGTAAACCCATCTGAATGCATTAAGTCCAATACCACAAAGGGTTAACATCAATAACTGATGTTCTTTACTTAGCCGTGCTTTCTGGTTATCTTTAAAAGTATTTTACTCATAATATGGTCAAAGTGTGTAGTATAGATGTTATAATTTTATATGTTCAGTGGGAAAAAATTATCATTTCACAACAAACTCTTAATTTGTGTTTACTTGTCCTACACAAATATTCTCTCGCTTCCTAAATATGATCAGAATTTTTCGTTCTATTACTTACTTAACTAAATATGGTCAGAAATATTAATTTTTCCATATCTAACGACACCTGATTATGATCTGAAACATTTATTTTGCTATCTCTTGGTGTATCAAAATATGAACAGAAAAACAGATAAAATTTATTTAAAATATTAAAGTGAGCAGACCTACCAAAACAATTTGTTGTCTTTCCATTCTCATTTGTTTTAACACACAATTTTAATTGATAGAAAACACAATCTTTGAATGTCTGCAGAAAATTATACATGATCAAGGACACCAACGTAATTAGTGTATGGTTAAAGTAATTAGAAATCAAATTTTTTAGCAACACATATCAATATAGATCTGAACTATTTCTCTAGAAACACCTAACTTTAATAAATTTGACACATCTTCAATCAAAACACATTAATATATATTATATGTGTAACCACATTCTCTAGCAAAAGCAATTTTTATAGATTTGAATACATTCTCTAGCAACATCTATGTAAATAGAATATAAAAAAATCACTAGAAGAAATAAAATCTTTCCACATTATCAAACCAACTTTTTACAACCCCCATCTTCAAAGACGGATACACATATAAACTAAACATGTTATTACTTTAGACCCCCGCTGGTAAAGCTTTGTGTTTAAATTACTACAATGTAGGTTTTTGAGAAATACAATCGCGGTGTTTATATTAAGCTAATCAAAGTTCCTTATCTAAATGTCGTTTAAATGTAAACGAATAAAAATTAAAACTTTAATGTAAAAAGAAAATATTATCTTTAAAGTTTTCTACACTTGCACTTTTTTATAACATTGATAGGCGTCTCATCAACTCAGTTGTGTTCATTCAACAAAACGTTTCTAGATCTAGATTTAGATTCTAGATCTGGGTCTATGTGTGTAACGTCGAGAATTAAGGTTTAAAATATAGATCTAGATCTAGAATCTATAATGAATTTTTACTCTAACACAAACCAAACACTTACTTTCCTTACTCCCCTTTACACTACCCTAACCTATCTAATTATTATTGAAAAGTAATAATTAATATATTATTTTTACTACTTAGATCTACCAATAACTAAATACCTACAGATTTTGTCAGTATAAAAGGTTATGTCTACATCATACTGATCTAAATTATACTGTAGACTATTTCATACACCCAGAAAGCCATTTGGTAACGGAACCGCGATCTTGGTGCAAAATGGTACACTATTTCTGCGGTGTGCAAACATGTTTGTTAATCTGGCACAAGTAATTAACTGTAACATAAATGTCTCTACAAACTGTATATCTGCCCTTTGCTATGCTAAAATGTACCTTTTGGAGGAAAGAAAAGAAATACACAAAACACAATTTTTTTACAAGCTTTTATATAACTTGCTTCCTCTATTTGTCGACGGTCTGTCTGATTATATGGTGTCATAGATCGAAATCCTCGAGCGAAATTTCGGGCACATCTTACTGATAGATTCGTTTCAAAGTTTGACACGTGAGGCAATACATGAAGACAAGCATTTTGGTATTAAAGTTTATTTAATTGGATGTCTATTTAAGTTTCTACGAATTAATTAAAATTTTGTCCAAATTAGTAGGCAGCCTTATCCAACTATTCGGCACTATTATACGCTCGTTATCATGTTAATTGGGTGCGCAATAGTTTTAAGTCATTCAACTCTATTGTATTAAAAATTTTAAATATTGACAATTTTTTTTTCAAATAATAAAACACTTTAAGAACAAGCTTTTGTGTAATAATGCACTAAATAGTACATTTAAAAAATAAATACAAAAACGTTTTAATAACACGCTTTTGTGTAATAATGCATTAAAAAGTAGAAAATAAATTATACACTACAATTTAAATAACTATAAAGAAAAGTGTGGGTCACTTTAGTATCTTTTGGATACCCTTATTAATATTTAGGAAGATACCCACCCTTTTCTTTATAGTTATTTAAATAGTAGTGTATAATTTATTTTCTACTTTTTAGTGCATTATTACCCAATAGCATGTTATTAAAAGTTTTTTATGAATTTTTGTCAGTACTTTAAATTTTTAAAATTTGCATTAGAGTTGCATGACTAAAAACCATGGCGAACATAATGAACGTGATGACGCATGTCTAATAGTGCGGAATAGTTGGGTAAGACTGCCTACTAATTGGTAAAATTTTAATTAATTCATTAAACATTAATTAGGCAACCAATTAAATCAAATTTAATGTCATATTGCATTGTCTTCAACGCTCGTTATTATGTTAATTTGGTGCGCAATAGTTTTAAGTCATGCAACTCTATTGTATAAAAAAATTTTAAATACTGACAATTTTTTTTTCAAAAATATAACATTTTAAGAACAAGCTTTTGTGTGATAATGCACTAAATAGTAAAGTAAACCGGGAGTGATCTCCTCTAAACTTTCTCGAATATTCTTATATAAAATAACAGGGGATGGGAACTCGGGCTATAGACATGATTTTTAATCCATTTTAAATACTTAGAGTTTTAAAAATAGAATAAAATCTCGTAGACAAATTAATTGCACACCAAGTGAACGCCAAATAAAAAAGCGCATAATAGTGCGCAATATTATTAGTACTTTTAAAATTTACATTCGTTTTTTGAGAAATCGGAAGCAGCGTAAATTACTACTTCAGTTCAACGGAAATTACTCAAAATTTAACAGAAGGTAGAGAATTAGATCTTTACTTAGATGTGAAATTTCATTTATCTATCTTAAATAGTACTCAAGTTATAGTCTTTTGAAAAATTCAAAGTAGGAAAAGTACCACTTCCGGTTATCGGAAATCGTTCAAAAGTTGATACTGATCTACGATTTTGATAAAATACTTATATATGAAATTTCATCAACCTAGCTGTAACGGTACTCAAGTTATCGTGTTTACACACGGACAAACACACACAGACAGACAGACAGACACACAGACATACGGACAAGATTGCAAAATTATGTTTTTCCGTATCAGTGAGGTGTAAAACGTCGAGATTTGTAAAAATCTCGATTTTTTTTTTTGCACGATTACAAGACTTTCTCTATACTTGGTATATACGCGAAAGTAAAAAATGACTAAGTTTAAATGTATAATACACCACTATTTAAATAACAATAAATAAAAGCGGGGGTCGCTTCCTAAATATTGGTAAATTATCCAATGGATGGTGTTGTTACCCAAGCTTTTTTATAGTTATTTAAATAGTAGTGTATTATTTTATATTTAAAGAAACTCATTTATTTTCTAGTTTTTGGTGCATTTTTACATAAAAGCTTGTTATTAAAACGTGTTTGATGATTTGTGCGTGTGCGTGTGCGTGTGTGTGTTGTAATGCAGGTGAGGAAAATATTTATTTCTCAAAATGATGTATTAAACAGAATTAAGGAAGAGAGCAGCAGAAATGAATATACACACCGTACCCCGCACAACACAAAGAAACACAATCCAAACCAAATCCCACACCAACCGTCTCTCATTTAAATCCAGTCCTCTACTAACACGATATATCCCACTACATCACATAGCACAACACAAACCTCACCCAACTATCCACGCGTTCCAAACCCGAATACTTTGCTCACACAATACACATGGCACGATACAACACATCCCATAGAGTAGACCAAACTCTACACCACCCCTCTTCACGCCCAAAAGCACACCACATCAGCTCGCACGACACCATGTACAACACCCCGAACCAAAACCACTCAGCAGCAAATCCCCCTTCCCTGTTTACAACTCTACATCACACACCAAAAAAATTCACACCCCACGATCTACATCCCACTACCTCCCCCCTCCCACAGTACAATCTACACCCCATCATCACGAAAATCTGTCGGTTGCTCAAAAGATCCAGACAACCTCAAAACAAGACAGAATGATTCAAAACAAAAGTTCACGAGGTAAAGACGTAAATAGAGTCACTCGGACAAACTCGCATGAGATCGTTGATTTTTATTTCATTACGGGCACGTGACACAATCAGCTAAGGACAAGGTGACATTATCAAGATAGAGACAAGGTGACATTATCAAGATAGAGACAAGATGACATTATCAAGATAGAGACAAGATGACATTATCAAGATAGAGACAAGGTGACATTATTAAGATAGAGACAAGATGACATTATCAAGATAGAGACAAGGTGACATTATCGAGATAGAGACAAGGCGACATTATCAAGATAGAGACAAGATGACATTATCAAGATAGAGACAAGATGACATTATCAAGATAGAGACAAGGTGACATTATCAAGATAGAGACAAGATGACATTATCAAGATAGAGACAAGGTGACATTATCAAGATAGAGACAAGGTGACATGATCACGATAGAGACAAGATGACATTATCAAGATAGAGACAAGATGACATTATCAAGATAGAGACAAGGTGACATGATCACGATAGAGACAAGGTGACATGATCACGATAGAGACAAGATGACATTATCAAGATAGAGACAAGATGTCATTATCAAGATAGAGACAAGATGACATTATCAAGATAGAGACAAGATGACATTATCAAGATAGAGACAAGATGACATTGTCAAGATAGAGACAAGATGTCATTGTCAAGATAGAGACAAGATGACATTATCAAGATAGAGACAAGATGACATTATCAAGATAGAGACAAGATGACATGATCACGATAGAGACAAGATGACATTATCAAGACAGAGACAAGATGACATTATCAAGATAGAAACAAGGTGACATTATCAAGATAGAGACAAGGTGACATGATCACGATAGAGACAAGATGACATTATCAAGATAGAGACAAGATGTCATTATCAAGATAGAGACAAGATGACATTATCAAGATAGAGACAAGATGACATTATCAAGATAGAGACAAGATGACATTATCAAGATAGAGACAAGATGTCATTGTCAAGATAGAGACAAGATGACATTATCAAGATAGAGACAAGATGACATTATCAAGATAGAGACAAGATGACATTATCAAGATAGAGACAAGATGACATTATCAAGATAGAGACAAGATGACATGATCACGATAGAGACAAGATGACATTATCAAGATAGAGACAAGATGACATTATCAAGATAGAGACAAGATGACATTATCAAGATAGAGACAAGATGACATTATCAAGATAGAGACAAGATGACATGATCACGATAGAGACAAGATGACATGATCACGATAGAGACAAGATGACATTATCAAGATAGAAACAAGGTGACATTATCAAGATAGAGACAAGGTGACATGATCACGATAGAGACAAGATGACATTATCAAGATAGAGACAAGATGACATTATCAAGATAGAGACAAGATGACATTATCAAGATAGAGACAAGATGACATTATCAAGATAGAGACAAGATGACATGATCACGATAGAGACAAGATGACATTATCAAGATAGAAACAAGGTGACATTATCAAGATAGAGACAAGGTGACATGATCACGATAGAGACAAGATGACATTATCAAGATAGAGACAAGATGTCATTATCAAGATAGAGACAAGATGACATTATCAAGATAGAGACAAGATGACATTATCAAGATAGAGACAAGATGACATTATCAAGATAGAGACAAGATGTCATTGTCAAGATAGAGACAAGATGACATTATCAAGATAGAGACAAGATGACATTATCAAGATAGAGACAAGATGACATTATCAAGATAGAGACAAGATGACATTATCAAGATAGAGACAAGATGACATTATCAAGATAGAGACAAGATGACATTATCAAGACAGAGACAAGATGACATTATCAAGATAGAAACAAGGTGACATTATCAAGATAGAGACAAGGTGACATGATCACGATAGAGACAAGGTGACATGATCACGCTTAAGACAATGTGACATGATCACGATAGAAACTCGACACAATCACGCTATTTTGTACAAGTTAAAGATCTCATTATATACCATTTAATATTTAGAAACTAAAATTGGTTAAATTTAAAGCAACTCGAAAGTGTCCTACGAACAGAGTTTCTTCCAGGCAGAAGAAAGTCTACCCCCCCCCCCCCCAACGAAATGGATTTTATATAGAAAACATACTTTTACCTTTGTCCGCGCCCCGCCCCCCCCCCCCCCTGAAAATGTTGACCGCCCCCCTCCATCGAAAATATCAAGTGCCCCGCCCCCCCCCCCCCCCCCGGAAAAAAAGTCTGGAAGAAACACTGCGTACGAAATAGCTGATACATAACGTAGACGCCATGAGGTTAAGATGATATCAGGCTACTGCATTCACTGGAAATATTAATAATTTAATAACTAAATGACAGCGAAACGAATGGGAAATGTTATAAACCTAGATGTCATGCAGGTTTAGTTTTTTATGAATAGAAAAATGTCATGTGACCTCGACTATATTTCTCACAGGTAACAGCGCAGTTCTGCATTAGCTTCGCACCAATTTTTCTTTGTTCATTGGTGGTAAAATATAGAGTGGTGTGTTTATATTTCTCCTAAATCTAGACAGTGGCGTAGCCAGGATCGTCTCAAGGGGGGGGGGGGGGGGGGAGGTTCCAATTTTTACCCGGGGACAAACTTTCGATTTGCACCCCCCCCCTCAAACTTTCGATTTGCACCCCCCCCCCCTCAAACTTTCGATTTGCACCCCCCCCCCTCAAACTTTCGATTTGCACCCCCCCCCCCTCATACTTTTTATATATACCGAGGGGTCTATGGGGGGGGGGGTTATGACCCCCCTACCCCCCCCCCCCCGCCTGCCTACGCCACTGAATCTAGATGACTATATATTAGCTGAAGATGATTAACCGTAACAACATAATTGCTTAACAGGTATCACTGACAAAATTTAATTGAAGACATGGGTGTATGTTTCAATGTAGTTAGTAACCAAATTGTCTAGGAATAGAGACCTCTATAAATTAAGACATACATAATTAATCGTACCAACATAATCGGTTAGCATCTGTCAAAGAATTTAATATGTGGTTGAGCTTCAAGGTTTGTATAGCTTAATGTATCACTAGCTCAAAACTAAATCTATTACGATATATTATCCCTACCCTAATACACAGAAAACTGAAAATAAATTTAAAAACAATGTAAAGAAAATGATGGGTAGAAGGTATGTTTACAATATGAAATTTAAAAAATCGCATGATGTAAACCAATAAAAACATTTGGTGTCCGTATCTCACAAAAACAGTGAAATGCAAAGAGAAATCAAAGAATGAATCGGTGCATGCAACAATTTATCAATTTTGTCAATATTTACCCATGACAAAAGCATCAGAAGAAACAGAAAGCAATCAGTTATTAATTGAAATTTAACCTAATTGTTTTTAACATTTTGTTTCGTTACCTAAAATACATAACACTTCAATCTTTAAATACATCTAATCTTTAGTGAAGTTTGACAAAAACCCCACAATACAATGTTATAACCACATTTATTTTTATAATAGATCTACTAGACTCTACATATTATTTTTTAAAACTTTTGTAAACCCTTATAGACCATTCATGGCTTGATCTAGATCTAGACTCAATGGCAAGAGGAATATTCATCACACTCTTTCCTTTTTGCCCAACTCTATTTTACCTCCCCTTATCGTTGATAAAAACTATTTCCATTACCTAATAATAACTAAACATATACCTTTTTGTAAGTATAAATAGAGCTACATCTTGCTGATCCTAATTTTACTGCAAATTATTTTTTAAGCTTGGTAACAAAACAATGATCTCATCCTAATGGTGCAGAATTGTGCGCTATTGATGCGCGGCGTTTACATGCATTTGTGTGAATATTATACAAATACTAGGCATGCTGCCCAGCTTCGCTTAGGCTTTCGAAAACATTGAGAATTTGAATGCTTAATTAATTCGCCCGAGGGTCGGTCTACGACCTCAAGAGTTGTGAAGAGGTTCCTCCGTGGACATTTTTTTTCGATTTATAGCTCATATAAGGTACCGGTCAGTCGAGGTCAGTTTTGACCCCTTCATCGTAGATTTTTCGGCCAACCGGCCCCCGTGCTCTGTCGCCCCAAGGCAAGATCCTGCCAAATTTGAAGCGCCTGCGGCGCCGGGAAGTGCCTTATCGGACACCCGACAATCTAGATCTAGAATCCTAATTGAATTTTTTTTTTTTAAGTTTAGTCCGAGCAAAATTAAAAAAAAAATACATTAACCAAGTTGACTTGGTGGGTCTCGAACCCGCACCACCTGCGTGGTTAATAGTACACTAACATCTCCACTATTTAGGCACCTTATAAAATACAGAGAATGAAAGACGTATTTTAAAATCTTAACTTACGCGAATATGCCTATTCTTTCAAATTAATTTTTTTATCCCAAATTAGCCAGTTCCAAACAAAGATTTTGTATAAATAAATGTTATGAGTTTAGGCCGGAAAAATTGTATTGTATACATTTCATAGTGTACGTAGATCTAAATCAAATTTGAATGAAATAGTTCATTTCTTTTTTATTCTTAACACGGCAGATGACGTCATTAGTAAGCAATAGTGTCGTCACAGTTTTATGCGTTCTTTTACACATCTATTAATGCTTTTCCGGTTGCATAAATAATACTGTTTCTCTATATTCGAATACGCCTTGATTTTTTATTTTTCTTCTTGAAATAAAATTGTGGTTATACATTTAAAACATCTAACATATTATTTTCAACAAAAGTCCGTATAAAGTTCTCCATATATCGCTGCCGTTTCTGACGTGATGTCCGGCGAAAATTTTTTGCGGACAGAGAAAGAGAGAGAGAGAGAGATGTGCGAACGTGGCCCATTATAGTATTAGATGTCTATTTAACCGAAATGTTTGGGCCCCCATATATATATATATATATATATATATATATATATATATATATATATATATATATATATATATATATATATATATATATATATATATATATATATATATATATATATATATATATATATATATATATGGGGGCCCAAACATTTTTTTTGCGGCGTGGCCCTTTTTTCTAGTTCCGCTACTGATATATTTATATGTATATATATCAGTAAATATATATGTAAGCGGCTAGCTCTGAGAATACTGACACCCCGTAGGGCGGTACGCTGGATGATTATCTGCCCCATTGAGAGGACCCCTACCCCCCCCCCCCTCTCCACCCAACCCCACCCCCACACCCGCGCGCAGTGCGTTGCTCTGAGGTAATATCCATATCCAAACCGTAGTGAAGCACTGGTATAATCTACCCGCGCGCAGCGCTGAAGTAATATTCGCCCCAATGCGGGGACCCGCACCCGCGCACGGCGCGGTAAACCCTTAGGGGTAATATCCATATCCACACTGTGGCGATATCCACACGGGTATAACTTTTGTGTTTTGTTTTGTTCTGTTCCCAAGTTGGTACATTTAAAAAAGATTTACCTTGGCGGAGCACGGGTATGCGAGAATACAGGAAGTATTGTCATCATGCATTAACAGAAATCAAGGTGTAAGAAGTTTTATACCTTCGTGTGATGGAAAAATTAATTTTTGCAAACTTGTGGGAAAGGCTAACTTGTCTACTGTTTTAGTTTTGTGAACGAAATTGCATTGAACAGTATAAGATCTTTTACTTAGATTACTTTTTACTTTCTCGTATATACGAAGTATAGAGAAAGTATTGTAATCGTGCAAAAAAAAATCGAGATTTTTACAAATCTCGACGTTTTACATCTCACTGATACGGAAAAACATAATTTTGCAATCTTGTCCGTATGTCTGTGTGTCTGTGTGTGTGTGTCTGTGTGTGTGTGTGTAAACACGATAACTTGAGTACCGTTACAGCTAGGTTGATGAAATTTCATATATAAGTATTTTATCAAAATCGTAGATCCGTATCAACTTTTGAGCGATTTCCGATAACCGGAAGTGGTACTTTTTCTACTTTGATTTTTCAAAAGCCTATAACTTGAGTACTATTTCAGATAGATAAATGAAATTTATTATGTAAGTAAAAGATCTAATTCTCTTCGTTCTGTCAAATTTAGAGTAATTTCCGTTGACGGGAAGTACAAATTTACGCTATTTCCAATTTCTCAAAAACGCATCTAAATTTATAAAGTATTAATAATATTGCGCATCATTATGAACATCTTTATTCGGCGTTCGCTTGATGCGCAATACATTTTTCTACGAGATTCTATTCTATTTTAAAAAGTTTAAGTATTTAAAATGGATTAAAAATCATAACTTACGCTTCTATGAGTTTTCTCGAAAAAACGAGTACTTTGGTCAAACTCTTCTATATTTCTTTTTCACGACTGCACTTCAAATCCCATTTTAACGCTTATTGTTATTTCAGAACATACGAGAAACTAAAGCGGAAATCTCTCCAGCTTTATTTACTATACACATTTTATTCTTAAACATTGAATCCGATATGACCAACTCTCTTAATTAAAAAGCTAAGTCTGGAGGAATCTTTAAAAACAAACAGACCAGCATATTGACATACATGGTAGCCATTAAAATTATCTTAAAAATTAGTTACAGTATTAACCCTTCAATAGGGATTTTTGTTTGTTATAAAATACGAGGGAGATTAAATACATTAATGGTTGAGCATGGTGAATAAAGTTGTGAATAACTTAGATTTTAGATTCCTTTAAAACGGGTAATGTTTGCTGTTTTTTAACTGTTTGTGTAGTTTTAATTTTATTTTTTAATTTTAACATATATTTTTTTGGGGGGGGGGGGGGCGGGGGGAGGAAGGGTTATTAATTTCCAACAAAGGTGAAACTGACTTTGAATTAGTTTCAGTAGTAGCGAATCCCAACCACAAGTCGTCTACGCGGCATTTAATGTGTGTGTTCCCTCTTTCTCTCTCTCTCACTCTATCCCCAGCCAATCAAACTCTTGCGATCGCAGTGAATGTTGTAAGCGGGCAAATCAATAGGACTTTAAATTGTACTTGTAATTTTTTAGCAAGCTCTAATTTATTTATGGTTGTACGCTAATATAGTTCCATGAATAATGATCTCAGATAAAATATCTCAATCAGAATTAACCTCAGAACAAAATATCTCAACGAGAATTGAGCTCAGAATAAAATATCTCAATGAGAATTGAGCTCAGAATAAAATATCTCAATGAGAATTGAGCTCAGAATAAAATATCTCAATGAGAATTGAGCTCAGAAAATATCTCAATGAGAAATGAGCTCAGAAAATATCTCAATGAGAATTGAGCTCAGAAAAAAATATCTCAATGCAAATTGAGCTCAGAATAAAATATCTCAATGAGAATTGATCTTAGGACAAAATATCCACACTTGAGTTTCTTCTATCACGTTGATATGAACATTAAATGTAATTAAAATATATATTCACTTTTGATTAAGTTACAATAAACATAAGGCGTATTTAATGAGGACCATGAAAAGATCACAGGTAACAATATTACAACGATGCCCTCAGAATTAATTTCTAAAAAAATATCATCATAATGAGCAACTATTATTTTCTTCATTCGCATCATTAACAAACGTACACAAGACAGAGCGTGTGCAGTAACAAAATGATACAAAATAAATGCTTCTTTAGTTCTCTTTCTTTTAGATTACTTTAAAACCTTTCTTAGGTTTGATATTCTCATTTAATGAACACGTTCCTCAATAATTACATATCTAGTAATCTAAGCATTAGCCCACACACCATAAATACTATGAATGTGTTTTGACACTGTTTATCGTGTGAATTATTTTTAAAATAAAACCTTTTTATATTATTCTACGTTTTGAAAATAACTGTTTGTTGTAAAATAATAGGCTTCAAAAGCTGGTTCAAAATGGTTCCATATCAGGGGTCGGCAACGTTTTGAGACAGAAGAGCTAAAAGTTACAATTTACAAAATTTCCCAGTTTTTAAAGAGCCACTAACATTTTTATTTCAATATTATGATATTTGATAAGGATTAGGTAAATAGATTTAATTTTCGATTGGAATAAATAGCGTTAAATATGAACTAATATTGATTCATATAAAAACATATAAATGTTTCTCACAAAAAGTGTTTTAGCTAGCTCTGCTATGATAAAATTAGTAATCATATAATATAATTATAGGACTATCCCAATCCACTTTACAAGCCAATAACTTTTTTTCTTTCTTTACAGACACCACCGGCTCAGGAGGTGTCTCCCATAGTCAGGCAGCTCTAAGCTCTAACTGGCTTGGGTATCGGTGTGATTACTGTATCGGTCGCTTCTGTCCTTCGGTTCTCACAGGGCTTATCTTTCATCCTTCTTGAAAGCAGAGTCCAGTACCTGGCTCAACCGTAGGAAACCAATAACTAAAATACTTCGTCACTCAGGTCAAATTAATTCATACTGACAGGTAGAGGAATGCAATCTGAATAACATAACATTTCCCATTGAAGACGGCACTTCGACAGTGGTAAGCATTGAATTGTCGCCTCTGGGCTGGCTTCAACACGACTGTGGGGTTGGTCCTGGTGCCCAAGCAGTTTTCAGCTGTATGTATACTTTCTACCTCACCTATTCTCTTTTTTTTTCTCTCAGGAGTGTTTTTATCCTGTTTAAAGTTTAAGTTGCTTTTCTTTACAGTATAATTCTTTATAATGAGATTTGAAAATAAAATATTTTAATCAATATTTCTCGCATGGAATTGGAGAGCCGTATCTTGGCATCAAAAGAGCCGCATGCGGCTCGCGAGCCGCAGGTTGCCGATCCCGGTTCCATATGGTTGTTGCCAGAAAGCATTTGTTTCAACCAAAATCTAATATTTTAAGCATTTGTAAAATAAGTGCAAAATGACTTTCGGTTTTTATCAAGGCTAGAAATAGTCAAACAAATATTATTAGTAACATAATAATAATTTAGCAAACACTGTTTGTTTTGGATTAGTAGAGTCAGGGTGTTCTGGTGATAGGGTATGTTTTATCATATAATATAAATATAATACTAGAATTTTACACCATTGACCACTATTGTGTATTTTATCATGCAAAACAATCGCTGTGACTTTCATTGGTTTACTCTCCCTGAACATTCCGGATGACTTCAAGGAAAGGTTGCGGGCAATTTTTTTCTAAATATTTGATTTGGTAAAATAATTCTAAACGTCTTTTCAACGGCTTGTATTCAATATGAAAATATGAAAATGAGAATAATCGATGGTTCCCAAACGGTTTTAAGTTTTTAAAATGTAACTATAATCTTATCGCTTGCCAAATTAAAAAAAAAAAAAAATTTTAAATTTAGTATGCTTACATAGACTTTTCAAGCCTGTTACATCAATTTCTATTCAACCTAAGACTCAATTTTCTTTTCTTCTTATGTATATTAATTCGAATATACGTTATGATGTTTTGATGGAACATAATGAATTGTAAGTGTAGGCGATTTACTATGTTTATAACGTTTTAAGCTGAAATAATAAAATTACAACTCAATAATCTATATATATAATACTCTTCTGCGAGCCGTAAGAAAACAAGCTGCAAGCGCCTCCTTACAGTCCCCTCTCTTTCTCTCTATCACTATCACTACCACCCTACCCCACCCCCACATGATCTGCTGAGCTGTGGTCACGTTAATGTTTACAAACCGTTCAGCCAGGTTTAGTGACGGCTATTAGGGGCAGATAATTAAGTTTGAACCGACTTTAAACTTACAGGAGGTAACTAAGAGGAGGCTGCTTTCACGGGGGGGGGGGGGGGGGGGTGTAGGGTCGGGGTTAGGGGAAAGGAGGGGGGTTAGTGTTTTAAAGCAAATATTTTCAGTGGCAGCATTGGTACTGTCGAATTCACAAATTATGAATTACTGAAAGTAGAAAATAAATCAACTAAATAGCGGCGTATGATACGCCGCGGGTCGGCTCGTTATAAATAGTTTAACCTTTTGATTCTGAAAGCGACCCCTAAATATTATCAAATTGTAGCAATATTTAAGATGATTTTATTTATTAAATTTCAGAACATTTTCAGAAAATTCCAAGTTTAAAAAGTCGTAAATAAAAAAAAGGCAACACGACTGTAAGAAAAAAAAAAGTCACTAATGTGTATAATATGTAGCAATTTGTTAATACATTTATTTATTGACTATTCATAAAGTCCAAATCCAAATATGTTTAGTTTGAATTTAATGTTAACATTTTAGATATAAATGTGTAGGTTGTATTAGTAGGAATATATTTATAAAATACGTAAAATAAATTTAATCTAAAGTTTGTATGTTTCAATTCGGCATTTTAATATTTGTTTTATTGAATTTAATATTCAATAGAATCTTCAAACCTATTCAGTTTGTATTCATCTTTTTCTAAGACTGAATTGGTATTAGTGTGAAAGGAGAAGAAGACAGTAAATGAGATTTGCTGTTCCCAATTCATGGTAACAATAGCTAAACCACGTTTACTGTCCACATTTTCCACTAAGAGCCGCCATTTTTTGTTTAATTTTTATACCTAATCAGTTTTTCATATTATTTTTTTTAATTTTTCAAAAATTCAATACTTTATTAACATAAAAAATACATTTTAAGGATTTCTAAACACTGGTATAGATGTTGTGTTTTAAAAAAACTATGATAGGTTTTTTTTTCTTTTCATAATGGCTCAAAACGTCATTGTATAATGCTTAATTTAACAATTGAAAAATGCTTATACTTGATGTCTTAGCTCCGTGAATTAAGAAGCTGTGTTTGACTTCCCTAAGAATTTCTACGTATCGTGTCAGTTATCCACTGAACATTATTAGGGACAGACCCTGCGTTGCCAATAAAGTATCCATCCAATGGAAGAAAATGGGTGAGTACTCCCACCAAGTAGTAACGTCCATTCTTGAAGCAGCTCAGAGCTGAACCAGAGTCTCCATAGTATACGCCAGAGTGTCCAGCTGAAGTAAAGCAGAAGAAATTGCTGTTTGAATCGATTATTCCAAAAAATGAGTGGTAAGCGATACACAGAGTTTGATCCAATATCCTGACGCGAAGCTGTTTAAGAAGGTCGGATTCCGTTTGTGACAAAAACGAGGTTGCTCCCCATGCTGTGGCAAAACAAGGCGAGGCGTCCCAAATATTACCCTCGGGCAAACAGATAGGCTGCACTGAGTCTGTAAAATTTAACGGGGATGACAGCTTATAAAGCGCCATATCATTATCAACCTTTATAAACTTAGTTTTGGTGGAAATTGTATTGGCTTTTCGATAGTTGTTGTTTCCATAATATACTTGAGCTACGCTACTGTCCGCGCAGTGTCCAGCCGTCAAGATCCATTCACTGTTAATAATAACCCCACCACACATTGATCCTGAAATGCTCATAAATACTTGCCAAGGCCAAGCATTAGCTGGTGCGTCTTCGCCACCTACAATCTGTTGTGATTGGTCGTTCTTAGACACGCCACATTGACCTTGGTTTAATATAGGTAGGGACGGCAAGTCTTTGACTACAGCTGGTTTGGGGTAATTGTAGTGGTAATGTTCTTGGTACACTTCTAATGGAAACTTGATACTTCTCCCGAAAGAACAATCGTCTGATTGAGATTTGATATGACCAGGCTGCATACATATCAATAAAAGAACCTGTACGGGACAAATTTTAAAGAATTATCTATAACGTATTTAAGGAAAATAATCAGTGACGTATGAAAAATTGAGTTATGGTTATGAAGGGTTTTAGACTAGCCCGACCGCATCCCCTCCTTCTAATGGACCTGAAAATAACTGGCGTTTCACTCACAGCTATTGGTGATGATGAGTTTCTCTAGCAATGGTTTGTTTAAAAATTTAACACGTCATAAAACAACATGCTTACGGTCCTTTAATCGTTATGGGACAATCAAAGGCACACACACTATATGTATATATATATATATGTATATATATATATATATATATATATATATATATATATATATATATATATATATATATATATATATTCCCTGCATTCCTTAAGTGTCAATTAGTGCAAATGCCCATTTGTGAATACGGCTTTTGGGTAGGCGGCATTCCGACAAGTGTCTTTGGGGAATTTGTCGTAGACCCGTTTCCATGCATTAAGTCCGATGCCACAAAGGCTAAAACACTAAATTTCCATAACTCTATATAGATTTTCTTTACTTAGCCTTGCTTTCTCGTAATCTTTAAAAATCTTTCGCTCAAAGTATGATCGTTGGTATTTTCACGGGGAAAAAAATGATCGTTTGCGCAACAAACTCTTAATGAGTATTTACTCGTCCTATACAAATATTTTCTCACTATAACTAAATATATTCTGAAATATTTAATTTTCTCTCACTTACAATAATTAATAATAATCATTTAAAAAGTTTTAAAAAACCCACGTTTTCTGATTGAACTAAAAAGTAGAAAATAAATGCTACACATCACAATAATGCAAGCGATGAAAAACGTGGGGCGCCGAAGTAAAAGTTATATTACTATTGATTAGATAATACTATTGACTTTTATTAGGGAGCTTGTAGAGATCCAACAGTATTAGAAACTGTAAGAAAATCACGGCGCCCTACGTTTTTCATCGCTTATAGTAGAGTGATCGCTTGCATTATTGTGATGTATAGCATTTATTTTCTACTTTTTTTTTTTTAACTGGCCACCAGTTGTTACGTTCTGGTTGTTTGTAGACAAACACCGCGTGACAACTACTCAGTAAGCAAAAAGAGGGAGAGTACCGAACCTTGTTTTCATCAAATTACAGTTACTGGGTTATGTCCCTTTTTCCCCACGTTTTTTTTGTACAATTATATAGGGGTATAAAATGATCAATAAAATGTTTCCATGGATCAATTTAGTAATAATAACAGTTGAATATTCTATTGTCATCCGAAACAAAGCTTCCCTGAAAATTTCAGCGCGCTAGCTAACTGGGAAGTGCACGAAATTTCGATCGCAAGATTTGATTGGAAAAACAAACAAACAAACAGAGGCGAAAACAAGTTAAAGAAAACGTGGGGAAAATGGTCTGAAATATTATCACCTACTATAACTAAATATGATCTGAAATATTTTTTTCTATCACTTGGTGTATAAAAATATGAACAGAAAAACGGTTAACATTTATTTAAAAATATTAAAGTGAACAGACTTACCGAAACAATTTCTTGTATTTTCATTGTCATTATTTTTAAACACAACTTCACTTGATAGAAAGCAAAAACAAAATCTTGGAAAGTCTGCAGAAAAGAGTTGACACATTCGTTGTTCATTGGTGGTAGAGGGTAGAGTGGTGTGTTTATATTTCTCCGATATTCTAGTTGATAATATAAACCTATACATGATTAAACATAACAACGTAATTGCTTAAACAGGTATCGCCGACAAAATTTAATTGAAGACATGGGTGTATGTTTTAATGTAGTTAGTAACCAAATAGTCTAGGAATAAAGACCACTATAAATTACGAAATACATAATTAATCGTACCAACATAATCGATTAGCATCTATCAAAGACACAAATATGTGGTTGAGCTTAAATGTTTGTATAACCCACTTTTGGGCTAAATGTATCACTAGCTCAAAACTAAATATATTACGATATATTATCCCTACCCTAATTACATGGACAACTGAAAATAAATTTTAGAGAAATGTTAAGAAAATGATTGGTATAAGATATGATTATAATATGAAATTTTTAAAAAATCGCATGATGTAAACCAATAAAAACATTTGGTGTCCGTATCTCACAAAAACAGTGAAATGCAAAGAGAAATCAAAGAATGAATCGGTGCATGCAACAATTTATTATTAAGCAGTCAATATTTACCCATGACAAAAGCATCAGAAGAAACAGAAAGCAATCAGTTATTAATTGAAATTTAACCTAATTGTTTTTAACATTTTGTTTCGTTACCTAAAATACATAACACTTCAATCTTTAAATACATCTAATCTTTAGTGAAGTTTGACAAAAACCCCACAATACAATGTTATAACCACATTTATTTTTATAATAGATCTACTAGACTCTACATATTATTTTTTAAAACTTTTGTAAACCCTTATAGACCATTCATGGCTTGATCTAGATCTAGACTCAATGGCAAGAGGAATATTCATCACACCCTTTCCTTTTTGCCTAACTCTATTTTAAGTATCGTAACGCCCTAATCGTTGATAAAAACTATTTCCATTACCTAATAATAACTAAACATATACCTTTTTGTAAGTATAAATAGAGCTACATCTTGCTGATCCTAATTTTACTGCAAATTATTTTTTAAGCTTGAAAACAAAACAATGATCTCATCATAATGGTGCAGAATTGTGCGCTATTGATGCGCGGCGTTTACATGCATTTGTGTGAATATTATACAAATATGTCTATTTAACCGAAATGTTTGGGCCCCCATATATATATATATATATATATATATATATATATATATATATATATGGGGGCCCAAACATTTTTTTTGCGGCGTGGCCCTTTTTTCTAGTTCCGCTACTGATATATTTATATGTATATATATCAGTAAATATATATGTAAGCGGCTAGCTCTGAGAATACTGACACCCCGTAGTGCTGTGAGCTGGATGATTATCTGCCCCATTGAGAGGACCCCTACCCCCCCCCTCCACCCAACCCCACCCCCACACCCGCGCGCAGTGCGTTGCTCTGAGGTAATATCCACGGTAAACCCTTAGGGGTAATATCCATATCCACACTGTGGCGATATCCACACGGGTATAACTTTTGTGTTTTATTTTGTTCTGTTCCCAAGTTGGTACATTTTAAAAAGATTTACCTTGGCGGAGCACGGGTATGCGAGAATACAGGAAGTATTGTAATCATGCATAGAAATCAAGGTGTAAGACGTTTTATACCTTCCTGTTATGGAAAAAATAATTTTTGCAAACTTGTGGGAAAGGCTAACTTGTCTACTGTTTTAGTTTTGTGAACGAGATTACTTTTTACTTTCTCGTATATACGAAGTACAGAGAAAGTATTGTAATCGTGCAAAAAAAATCGAGATTTTTACAAATCTCGACGTTTTACACCTCACTGATACGGAAAAACATAATTTTGCAATCTTGTCCGTATGTCTGTGTGTCTGTGTGTCTGTCTGTGTGTCTGTGTGTCTGTGTGTAAACACGATAACTTGAGTACCGTTACAGCTAGGTTGATGAAATTTCATATATAAGTATTTTATCAAAATCGTAGATCCGTATCAACTTTTGAGCGATTTCCGATAACCGGAAGTGGTACTTTTTCTACTTTGAATTTTACAAAAGCCTATAACTTGAGTACTATTTCAGATAGATAAATGAAATTTGATAAGTAAGTAAAAGATCTAATTCTCTACCTTCTATAAAATTTTGACTAATTTCCGTTGACCGGAAGTACTTATTTACGCTATTTCCGATTTCTCAAAAAACGCATGTAAATTTATAAAGTACTAATAATATTGCGCACTATTATGCGCATCTTTATTTAGCGTTCACTTGGTGTGCATTTCTTTTTTCTACGAGATTATATTCTATCTTAAAAAATTTGAGTATTTAAAATGGATTAAAAATCATGTCTAGAAGTCTATATCCCGAGTTGCCATCCCCCGTAGTGTTATATTAGAATATTCGAGAAAGTTTAGGGAAGATCACTCCCGGTTTATTTAAACTGAGCATCGTGTAGGCCTACTCGTTAAAATAAAACTATTTCCGTTGCTGAATATATGATTTATCTTTTACTTATTAATTCAAACGTTATTTTTGTACCCTATTAATTTATTTATAATTTATATGAGAGTGATAGGGAGTTACAATTACAAGGTTTTGTTTTGCTAGGCCTAATCATTTTTTCACATTTTTTAAAAACAAACTTGATCACTATCTATTTTTAGATAACATAAGGAAATTGCGCTTAAATTGTCACTAGACTTTTTATTAACTTGTTTTTCAAAAATATAACATTTTAAGAACAAGCTTTTGTGTAATAATGCACTAAATAGTAAAAAAAAAGACAAAGTTTAAATGTATAATACACCACTATTTAAATAACAATAAATAAAAGCGTGGGTCTCTTCCTAAATATTGGTAAATTATCCAATGGATGGTGTAGTTACCCCAGCTTTTTTTATAGTTATTTAAATAGTAGTGTATTATTTTATATTTAAAGAAACTCATTTATTTTCTAGTTTTTAGTGCATTATTACATAAAAGATTGTTATTAAAACGTGTTTGATGATTTGTGTGTGTGCGTGTGCGTGTGTGTGTTTTGTAATGCAGGTGAGGAAAATATTTATTTCTCAAAATGATGTATTAAACAGAATTAAGGAAGAGAGCAGCAGAAATGAATATATACACCGCAACCCGCACGACACAAAGAACCACAACCCAAACCAAAACCCACACCAACTCCAGTCCTCTACTAACACGATATATCCCACTACATCACATAGCACAACACAAACCTCACCCTACTATCCACGCGTTCAAAACCCGAATACTCTGCTCACACTATACACATAACACGATACAACACATCCCATAGAGTAGACCAAACTCTTCACCACCCCTCTTCACGCCCAAAAGCACACCACATCAGCTCGCACGACACCATGTACAACACCCCGAACCAAAACCACTCAACAACACATCCCCCACTCCGTTTACAACTCTACATCACACACCAAAAAAATTCACACCCCACGATCTACATCCCACTACCCCCCTCCCACAGTACAATCTACACCCCATCATCACGAAAATCTGTCGGCCGCTCAAAAGATCCAGACACCCTCAAAACAAGACAGAATGATTTAAAACACAAGTTCACGAGTTAAATACGTAAATAGAGTCACTCGGACAAACTCGCATGAGATCGTTGATTTTTATTTCATTACGGGCACGTGACACGATCAGCTCAGGACAAAGTGACATGATCACGATAGAGACAAAGTGACATTATCAAGATAGAGACAAGGTGACATTATCACATTAAATACAAGGTGACATGATCACGATAGAGACAAAGTGACCAGTGTTTCTTCCAGACTTTTTTCTCCGGGGGGGGGGGGGCACTTGATATTTTCGTGGGTGGGGAGGGGCGGACAACAATTTTCTGAGGGGGGGGGGGTCAACTGGTAAAAGTATGTTTTCTATATACATTCCATTTCGTTCGGGGGGGGGGAGGATGCGGTATACTTTCTTCGGAGGGCTTCGACTCCCTCCCCCCCCCCGCCCAAAAGATGCCTGGGAGAAACTCTGAAGGTGACATAATCACATTAAATACAAGGTGACATTATCAAAGACAATGTGAATTGATCACGATGAGACAAGATGACATGATCACGCTAAAGGCAAGGCGGCACGACCACGTTAACGACAAGGTGAAATGATCATATTAAATACAAGGTGATATGATCACGCTATAGAAATGGTGACAGGATCACGCCAAACACAAGGTGATATAATCACGTTATAGACAGTGAATGTGACACGATCAAAGACAAGATGATATGATCGCGACGAAGACAAGGTGACATGATCACACTAAATATCAAGTGACATAATCACGCTAAAGAAAAGGTGACATGATCACGCTAAAGACAAGGTGCCATGAATTAATTAAAGACAAGGTGACATGATCATGCTAAATACAAGGTGGCATGAATACGATAAACATAAGTTGACATGATCACGCTAAAGACAAGGTGACATGATCACGCTAAATACAAGGTGACATGATCACGATAAAGACAAGGTGACAAGATCACACTAAACATCAAGTGATATAATCACGCTAAAGACAAGGTGACATGATCACGTTATAGACAAGTTGACATGATCACGCTAAAGACGAGTTGACATGATCACGCTAAAGACAAGGTGACATGATCACGATAGAGACTCGACACAATCACGCTATTTTTTACAAGTCGAAGATCTCATTATAAGCCATTCAAAACTTAAAAACTAAAATTTGTTACATTTAAAGCAAGTCGAAAGTGTCGTACGAAATGGCTGATACATAACGTAGAAGCCATGAGGTTAAGACGATACCAGGCTACTGCATTCACAGGAAATATCAAATGATTTAATAACCAAATGACAGGAAAACGAATGGAAAATGTTATAAACCTAGCGTGCGACATATAAAAATAGATGTCATGCAGGTTTAGTTTTTTATAAATAGAAAAATGTCATGTGACCTCGACTGTTTTCTCACAGGTAACAGCGCAGTTCTGCGTTAGTTTCGCACCAATTTTTCATTTAAATATTTTTTTACTCAATACTTCACTATAATGAATAAGAACTTTGGATTTCTTAAAATCGGCACTGCAGTGATGGTTGTAATTTTTAAAAAAATTAGGATTATTTTTTTATAAAGGTTCTAAAATAATTCTAAGATATTTCATTTGCAAGGCAAAAAAAAAACAACTACTTAATTCAAGTCGTGCCTCATTGAAATATGAAAGTTCTTTTGAATTCCCTAAGAATGTCTACGTATTGTGTCAGTTATCCACTGAATATTCTTTGGGACAGATACTGCGAAACTAATATGATCTCCATCGAAGAAAAGAATATGGGTCAGTACTCCAACCAAGTAGTAACGTCCATTGCTCATGCAGCTCAGTGGTCCACCAGAGTCTCCATAGTATGCGCCTGAGTGTCCAGCGGAAGTCACGCAGAAATACTGACCATCCAAGTCAATTATTCCATAAAATGAGTTGTAAGCGATGCACATAGTTTGGTTCATTAGTCTGACGCGAAGCTGTTGAAGAATGTGATCTGACTTTTGCATCAATAGATCCGTAGCTCCCCAGCCTGTGACAAAACAAGGCGAGGCGTCCCAAATATTACCCTCAGGCAAACAGATAGGCTGTACTGAGTCTGTAAACGTTAACGGGGAGGACAGTTTAAAAAGGACCATATCAGCGCTAGCTTGTGTGTTTTTAAACACCGCTTTTGTGCGAACTGTTTTGGCTTTATAATAGTTGTTGTTTCCATAATATACCACGGCTTCATTACTTCGCAGACAGTGTCCAGCCGTCATGATCCATTCACTGTTGATAATAACCCCACCACACAGGGATCCTGAAATGCTCAAAAATACTTGCCAAGGCCAAGCATTAGCTGGTGCGTCTTTGCCACCTACAATCTGTTGTGATTGGTCGTTCTTAGACACGCCACATTGACCTTGGTTTAATATAGGCGGGGACGGCAAGTCTTTGACTACAGCTGGTTTGGGGTAATTGTAGTGGTAATGTTCTTGGTACATTTCTAATGGAAACTTGATACTTCTGCCGAAAGAACAATCGTCTGATTGAGATTTGATAAGACCAGGCTTCATACATAGTAATATGAGAACCTGCATGGGACAAATTTTAAAGAATTATCTATAACGAAAAGAAGAAAATAATCAGTGACGTAAGATGGTCTTATGGTTAGCAAGGGTTTTACCCAACGCTTGTCTTCAGCACCTCCTTCAAATGGACCTCAAAATAACTAGCGCTTCACTTAAAGTTATTATCTAGAAATGATTTGGTTCAAAATTTAACATATCATAAAATAACAAGCTTACGTTCCTTAAATCGTTATGGGCCCATGGAATACAAGCACATACGCTGTATATTAATGCCTACTATGTAATCTTAAATATGATTTTTTGTTCACGGTTATTATATATGAATGTGATCTGAAATATTTTTTTCTCTATCACTTGCTGTGACTTAAAAACAGCTAAAATTTATCTTTAAAATTTATTTTTTAAAATTTTAAAAGAGAACAGACTTACCAAAACAATTTCTTGTATTTTCATTGTCATTATTTCTAATTACAACTTCAATCGATAGAAACCAAAAACAAATCTTTGAAAGTCTACAGAAAAGAGTTGACACATTCGTTGTTTATTGGTGGTAGAGGTTTGAGTGGTGTGTTTATCTTTCTCGGAAATCTAGGTGACTAAATATAGCTATACGTGGTTAACCATAACAACATGATTGCCTAACTGATATGGCTGAAAAAATTTAAAGACATTTGTGTATGTTTTAATGTAGTTAGTAAGCAAATTTTGTAGAAATACAGACTACTATAGATTTAAACATACACAATTAATCGTACGAACATAATCGTTTAACGTCTACCAAAGACACAAATATGTGGTTGCTGCAAGTAGTGATGTTTTAACATCAATCTTTATAGATCTAGCTCACTTTTGGGCTAAAAGTATCACTAGCTCAAAGCTAAATCTATTAACTCTATTTTACCTACCGTAACGCCCTAAGCGTCTATTTTTCAATGAGGAAAACTGTTTCCATTACTTACTAGTAACTAAACATATACCGGTTTGTAAGTATAAATGGGGCTACATCTTGCTGATCACAATTTTACTGCAAATTATTTTTGGTAACCGAAGCTTGGTAACAAAACAATGATCTCAACATAGAGGTGCAGAATTGTGCGCTATTGATGCGCGGCGTTTAGATGCATTTGTGTGAACATGAAACAATTAATTCTAAGTAACCCGAATGTCTTGCTATGTATATATATATATATATATATATATATATATATATATATATATATATATATATATATATATATATATATATATTTATTTATTTATTTATTTATTTATTTATATATATATATATATATATATATATATATATATATATATATATATATATATATATATATATATATATATATATATATATATATATATATATACTAGCCTGCCCGTCCCTGCCTGTTGCCGCGCGGTTGAAGAAAGTCTGACAAAATATATAACAAGGGTTTCACCAACACGTTACCAAGCATATATTCTTGGACGTGTGTTCTTGTTTTCTAGAACTGAGTTATTTAAATGTAAACAGTGTCTGCGTTTGGATCATTTTTATCGGGGCACGAGTTTACCTACACGGCCGCATGAAAGCGTTCTGTGCACGTTAATCACTCTCTCTTATAGTTAGGTAGAACACACTTCGTTGACCGCCCAGGTGTCAGGGACGTAGTGGGGTGCTCTCGGGAACCCCCGATTACATTACCACAGGGGCGCCGCGTACGGCCCCTGTCTCCCCAAAGCTATCGTATGCGTCGACAGACGCGCTTGATACAGTTCAGTGAACGACTATAACGCCCCATCTTATCCATAGTCTAACGCACTGTTTAAAACTATCGTAGGCACCATAGCGCTCACGGGATAACCCGGGGTGCCAAATTGCACTCTGCAGAGGCGCCGCCCGTGCGAAATTAAAAATTGTTTTTTTTTCATCAGAAATATCATCAGGATTATTCTCAACAAGTTCAATGCTTTACTAATCCTATATTCTTAGACGCATGACTTTGTTTTCTAAATGTAAACAAAGCCTTCGCTTGGATCATATCTATCGAGGCACGGGTTTACCTACATAACCGCCCAGCACGCCTTGAGTGTACGTTAACCACTTATCATAATATCACCGTTAATCACTAACCGCCTAAGTGTCGGGGACGTAGAGGGCGCCCTCGTGAACCCCGATTATACTATCCGCAGAAGCGCCATCGGATGTCGTGTGCCGCCTTGTGAATATTGTAGGGTGCTCCTTAAAAGTAACATAGGCGCGAGAGTGCTCATAAGATGGCGCAAGGCGCCAAACTGCACGTTGCTGGGGAGCCGGCGGACGTGCTTGATTATGTTTAGTGAACGACTTAAAAACCCAATCATATGCATAGTCTTTCGCAATGTTTAAAACGGACGTAGGCGCCATATCGCTCACGGGATAGCCCGGAGTGCCATTTGCACTCTGTCGGGACGCCGGCGGACTCGCCTGATTCAATTTATTGAACGACTATAATGCCCATTTTATCCATTGTCTACTGCTCTGTTTAAAACGTAGGCGCCATAGCACTCAAGGGAAAGACCGGATTGCCGAATTGCATCTTGCCGTGATGAATTTTTTTCCCCCAAAAAACCTTATCAGGAATATTCTCATTAACCGTTTATACCGTATAAAAAGAAGAATCGCACACTCCCGAGGCGCCGACACTTTCTAAATTAAAAAAAAGATTTATTTATTTTTTTGCTGAAACCTCACCTGTAGTGTTCTAATCAACCCCCCAAAGTTGAACTGTGTCAAACCGCAGTGACTTTTATTTTTTAAATATGGTTTTTCGAGAAGAATCGAATCGCTTCCTGCCGGGGCCCCAACCCTGCGACTTTGAAATTTCTCTTCGCAGGAACCTTCCCAGATGTATTTTTAACAACTTTAATGGCTTTCGGATGAAAGGTGTAGTAATGTATAAATGACAGACAAACAAATAAACAAAGAAACAGACAGACATGCATTGCTTTATATATATATATATATATATATATATATATATATATATATATATATATATATATATATATATATATATATATATATATATATATATATATATATATATATATATATATATATATATATATATATGTATGTGTATATATATATATATATATATATATATATATATATATCAGAGGTTCCCGTCCCCGCGCGTTGTCGTGGGGTTAAAAAAATCCCAGGATAGCCCTGGACAAATCGTACGGTCAGACGCGCAAAATTCTATTTAGTGAACGACTAAAATACTACTTCTTATCCATAATCTATCACAATCTTTAAAACAAACGGGCACCGTATGCGGCGCCCTTGCGGTAGTATAACCTGGGACTCCCGAGATTGCCCTTTTATGTCCCTGACACATGGGTGGTCAATGAAGTGTGCTCGACCTCACTATTACAGAGAGTGATTAACATACGCTTAAGGCTTTCATACAATCGAGAAGAATCGCACCCTCCAAGGGCGCCACCCTTGCGAAATTAAAGAAAAAGATTCTTTTACAGAAACCTCTTCTGGAGTGTTCTTATCTACGACCCAAAGTTCCATAGCACTCTGGATGTACGGTGACGAACCGCATTCAACTTTTATTTTTTATATACCGTATATAGAGACAAATCGCAACCTCCCGTGGTGCCGCCCTTGCGAAATTTAAAATGATTTTTTTTTGCAGAACCATTCTAATTAACTCCTCAAAGTTTCCTGGCGATTGGATGAACGATGTCAAACTGCAATCGACTTTTATTTTCATATACCGTATATACAGAAAAAGCAAATGGCGCTCAGCCGGAGTGCCACCCCTGCGAATTTGAATTTTGTTTTTCATCGATGCGTTACCAACCATATAATGAAATTTCACATGTAAGTAAAAGATCTAATTCTCCACCTTTTGTCGAAATTTGAGTTATTTCCGTTGACCGGAAGTAGTAATTTACTCTATTTCCGATTTCTCAAAAAACGAATGTGAATATATAAAGTACTAATCATATACCGCACAATTATACACAGATAGTTAGGCCTTCACTTGGTGCGCAAATATTTTTTTCTACGAGATTCTATTCTTATTTTCAAAGTTTAATTAAGTAGGGCCTACTTAAAAATTTTTTTCATAAAAAACGTTTTAATAAAAAGGTTTAATATAGACTACTAAAGCACTAAAAAGTAGAAAATAAATTACACACTACTATTTAAAGAAAAGCGTGGGTCTCTTCCTAAACATTAGTAAAGGTATCCAATAAATACTAAAGTGGCCCACGCTTTTCTTTATAGTTATTTAATTTGTAGTGTATAATTTATTTTCTACTGTTTAGTGCATTAGTAGGCTACATAAAAGCTTGTTATTAAAACGTTTTTTTTAATGAAAAATTTGTAAGTACTTTACATGGTTTTTTTTACAATAGAATTTCATGACTAAAAACCATTCTAAGTTATTCTAAATTATATCCTATATAGTAAACAATCTACTATTTATACTTTCTCGTATAAAGAGTGGGCTATTACAGGAAGTATTAAAATCGTGCAATATATAGAAATCAAATAAAAAACAAATATTTTCAGTGGCAGCATTGGTACTGTCGAGTTCACAAATTATGAATGGCTGAAAAGTAGAAAATAAAACAACTAAATAGCGGCGTATGTTATGCCGCGGGTCGGCTCGTATTCTATATTTCTATTGCCCGACTACACTACAAATAGAATGCCAACGCTTATTGGTATATCAAAATATACGAAAAGGTTATGGGGAAATCTCTCCAGCTTTATTTACTATATACATTTTATTCCTAAACATTGAATCTAATTTAACCAACTCACTTAATTAAAAAGCTAAGTCGGCAGGAATCTTTAAAAACAAAAGGACCAACATATTTATATACATGGTAGCCATTATAATTATCTTAAAACGCTGTATATACTTATTGGGGAAAAAACTAGTTACAGTATTATTAATTTAAAAATACGAGTGAGAAGTGAAAATGTGGCTCAATAGCGCGCACCCCGTGTAAATCGTTTGCCTACGTCACCAGAACTGCGTAGAACGTAAAACCCAAAAGATAAATGGAAGTAGACCCAAAAATAACTCGCGGCAACAATGTCTCAAGGCATACATCATAAATTTATACTTGGATCTGTCTGGAGAATATGTCAAATGCACTTTTTTAAAAGCATTTATTAGAGGGGTGGGGGATGGGGGGGACGACACAGCACATCTCCCGCACCCAGAGGCGTAGCGACCCTTCCCGGCGCCCGGGGACAAACTTTCGATTTGCACCCCCCCCCCCCCTCAAACTTTCGATTTGCACCCCTCCTCGAACTTTTCATTTGCATCCCCCACTCAAACTTTCAATTTGTTTTTCCAACCCATTTTGGCGCCCCCCCCCCTCCTAAGGTCGGCGCCCGGGGACGTATGCCCCCCCCCCGCCCCACCCCCCTCACTACGCCTCTGCCCGCACCCCTCCTGTATCAAATGAAAAAGATTTCAAATAGAATTATATTGTTTTACCAATGACCTCCTCCCCCCGTTCCCCCTCCGTCGTCCCCCCCCCCCAAAGTTTCAAGTGCACCCCAACCCAAACTCCAGAGGGAAAAAAAAGTAACACTGGTCCCAGATCAGTTGAGATTTATCGTCAGCCTTCCCCAGTTGGAATCACAAGAAGTAATAATGTACTTAGGAAATATTAATTGCCTCGTGTCTTCGGGGGTCAAAGAATAATATACATTATGGAATGTTGACTAAAACACACCATCGAAGATTAATTCTATAATTAATGGTTTGGGCAAGGCGAATAAATTTGTTCACAACTTAGATTTGAGATTTCTTTAAAATGGGAAATGTTTTCTGTTTTTTCAACTGGTTGTGTAGTTTTAAAAACTTTTTGTGTGAGTTGATTGATTTCCACCAAGGGTGAAACTGACTAAATTAGTTTCATTCAGAGTTCGCCCCCCCCCCCCCCCCGAACAATTTTTACCGCCCCCCCCCCCCCCCGCCCCCAAACGAAATGATATTTATATAATTTATATAGAAAATATATACTTTTAAC